GGATGAAAAAGCTAGCTTATATGTAGTAAAATTAGCTAATAAGTTGACTGAAATAAAAATTTCAACAGGTTTATTTGTAAAGTAATTCAATGAAAAATTTATGTAATAAGCTAGAGCATTTAAAAAAAGTTCACCAAGTTTATTTGAATAGAAAACGAGTAATGAAATAAAGTTTATGAGATAATCTCAAACTTTTTAATAAAGTTCACAAAGTTTATTTGAATACAGAACGCTAACTAATAAGCTTAAGTTAACTTATTATAGAATTAATTTCAATGCGCTTGTAAACACTGGGATAAAACACTGGGATAATGAATTAAAGTAAAAATTAAGAAGGCTATTAAGAAGGCTCTTAAGAATGCTATATAAATTAAAAGCAATTGAAAATCACTGAAATTACCATTCTCAGTGGCTTAGAATTTGTTTAAAAAATATTTAATTAGATTTGTAGTTTTATATTAAATGCCAATTTTATTTAATATGTTAAATTTTTATATCCAAAACAAATACGAGTTACTGTCGTATTAGTATCAACTTAAGATGGTTAGAATCTAAAATATCCAAGAGTATACAAGCATTTTCTCTACAAGTATAAAAATATACTTATAGAACATGTAGAAGAAAATCATAAACATGTGCATATTCATTTAAAAAATGTCTTCTTATTTTCTAGATATAATCATAACAAATATACTAAATATTTGCAATATTATATTTATAATACTATGTAAATTATTTTTTAATTATATATTTGTAATAGAAACAATAGAGAATATTTAGAGAATACTTATTTGGTACAAAATCTAATAACATCACATGGTTTGATGGAGATGATATTAAAGTTATAGAGTTACTATTTTGGTACAAATACGACATCGAAATAGTGCAAACAGTTGGAGATATCACATTTCCATTCAAATGATTGTTTAAAAATTTGCAAGCTTTTTAATGTATAGCTCATCTCACTAAACACTTGTGGAAAATCTTTGCAAATGCAAACTGTTTGTTGAGTAGAATGATTTCAGCAAAGTATATTTAGAATGGAAGATATGAGAAGAACAAAAATATTAACTCCTGGGTTTGGAAAGTTTGGTAAATGCTGAAAAATTCTAAGGGCAGGGCTTTAATTAGGAACAACAGTGGATTGGGATTCTATCAAACCCACCATTTAAGTTAACAGGCAGTGATGAGGACCATTCGGATTTATGAAAATGGGTATAAAAATGGCGGAATGTGGAAAAAACAGAGAAAGAGTCTTGGAAAAAAAATATGTACTTCAGATGGGAATTGCAACTTATGTTGCACGAACTAAGTTGAGGATGGGAAAGTATATTTGCTGAATCCTTGTTGCTGGACCCACACTATTGATGCTGCTATATATGGGTACGACTGTATCAGTTCCTCGTAAAAGATATCATTCTTGAAAATGTTGTTGCTTTAGATTCGTGCATGGGCTTAATGCAGCATATGACTGGATAGTGGATGCTTCCGAACATGTAAATTTTCAAGAAGCTGAACAATGAAATAAGAGCTTTAGCATTTCAGAAACGAAAATGGACCGCTAGCCTTTTAGGTTTATTTGTTCAACTATTTGAAATATGATCCATGATGATAGTACAAGTGTTCATGTGCATAACTGGTTTCGTCACAGCAGCCATGCTAGTGAAAGTTGGTATTTGAATGTCATTCCGAAAGTCAGGGGCGGATCCAGAAAAATATATTGGGGGGACTAAAATAATTTTCGATAAAGACATAGAGTTAACAACAACAAAGATATAAAGTTGCAATATTGGAATATAAAAAATATTGTGCTAAAAAAAATACAAACCTTTCAAACTTCACTACAACTAGAATTGTGCTCGACGTTCTCTCAAGTCACGAAACTCATCAATGATTGACTCAGTACAAATAGATCTTGCAATTTCTCTTTCGACGAAGATAGTCAAAGAATAGCTTCCGTTGGAATAGTTCCAACAGAAATTTCAACAGAAATATTCCGTTGGAATGTGTTTTTCATTGAAATTTTAGATGGAATTTAATGATTCCAATGGCTTTTTACCATAGGAATTTCTGTTGGAATATGCAAATCTCGTTGGAATTTTTTTCCCACCCCCATTGGAAAATCCACCGTTGGAATCGTCAAAAATCCCAACAGAAATTTCAATGGAAAACCCATTCTAACGGAATATTTTCGTTGGTATCCATTGAAAAATTCCAACAGAAATAATAATATTGAAATATCTATTAATGTGATTTTTTTTTTCGTTTGCCTCTCCCCCGTTTGCCGCTCGTCCTTAAACGCCTCTGTCTTCTCAATTTTGTGTGCAGGATCCCATCCCTTTTTTATCTTTATGATGTTGAATTAATTAATAATATAATAATGTAAACAACAATTAACTAACTTATTTATTATATTATATATACATTTTAAAGCAAAAGAGAGAAAGAAAGAGCGAAGGTGCAGAATCCTATCTCTTTTTTTTATCTTTTATGATGTTAAGTTAATTATTAATTTAATAATGTAAAGAACAATTAACTAACTTAATTTATTATATTATATATACTTATTAAAGAAAAAAGAGAGAAAGAAAGGGCAGAGACGTGTACGTGTGGTCGTGTGCAACTCAGATTTTGTTCCCATCTACTGCATTAGTTACTT